AAAAATTCGAACGAGTCTACTAATGAGAATGCAAATGACATATCATTTGCAGAATGAGCGGCTCATTTTAAACATATTAAAGAGTTTGATGGAGAAATCATCGCTAGAGCTTTCCCGGCAGTTATCCCGACGCTCATCGATGCCCCGAGATTGCGCGTTTAATTGTGAAGCGTTTAACCAGCATCGGCCCGCGGCGACAAGGCAGAGAGGCAAGAGCAATGCCGAGTCGGAGAGTGTGCAGTCATTAAATTATTCCGGAATGTGAGCCCGATGGGTGTCCTCGATCGGTTTGACTCTGAAACGGCCCACGTTCGACAGAAGAATCGGAACATCTGACGCGGTCTCTATAATAGCTCTATCGCACGTGTTAGACGCTGCATCGGTTTTTTGTTTCGTCTTTGCGCAACACATATTTCATTATATTTATAAGCTTGCTCGAAACTAATTCAGAATGAAAAAGAGGGGGAAATTTCATTAAACACACACATAGTTTGATTTAAATTAACAGACACGGGAAAATAAATGAAGAGTTTGTATTGAACCGATTTTTCGTGGATTAAGATTTTATTATACATATTATTCTATATGTTTTTGTTTTTAAATATATATTATTTTTATTTTTTTTCTAGTTTTTAATATATTCCACTTTTTAATGGAAAGATCAATTTTCAAATAAATTTCTCCGAACGTAGATTTCTATCCTTTCTCAAAACAGAGCATTTTCATGAAAATTTGAAACAATATTATCAAAATTGTGATACAATCTGCGTAGATCGGTAATAACTAGATATGAATGTACATTTTTTTTTAAATTTTTGCTATAGATCAAAGATAAAAAATAAAAGTGTGTCGTAACTTTTTCTCTATTATCACAAATATATACTTTACTCCCACAGAGAATATATCAACGGCAGTTGATATATTTTTGACGCGAGACCGTTTCATCGTGGCACGTGCAGCATCTCGAAGCGCACCCCGAGGAGATCGGGTCCTCTCGATCGGGTCAGAGGGGGATACTACGCGAGCCAGTGACTCCGAAAAAACGCGATCCTTCAGTGCGCGGCGAACGCGAGCGTGTCGGCAAACAGAATCGGTCGGTGGAATGCCATCAGCGGCTGCAGCGGGCAGTAGTCGAGGCTCGCTCTCTTGGTGGTTGATGCACGCGCGTGCACGCGCGCACACACGCACAGCCCGCGGGGGTTGAGCGAAATGCAAAAACGTCAGCGGCAAGATCCTCGAATGATTTTTCGAAAGCGCAGCGAGAGCCCGTGAGCCGCCCCCACATGAAACGCTTCCGCTTCCGCTTCGCCGTTTCGGTTCCGTATCGGCAGTGGCAAATCGAGCAGCGATATCCCGATAAATAACGGCGTATTTTCGGCGTACGTTGGCAAAAAGGTTTTTGCGCATCGTCGACGATGCGGAAAAAGCGCATCAGACACGTTAGATCTGTCCAATTGTTGTGCCTCCTCCTCTGCTCAATATGTATCTCTTTTGCCGCTGGAAATCGCAGTCGTTAGCGGTACGCACGATTATCGATATTCCATGGAAAACCATTGGCGGCTAATTATCACTACAAGGGAGGAATCTGCCGTTGCCCCCCGGCACCGTCCCAGCCTTCCTCCCGTCGATGTGAAATTATAATCGAACAATTATAATTAACGAAATAACGCGATATCGTTCGATGCGATTTCCATAGTTTGTTTCATGTGCAGCGGCTACATCATATTGTAATATTTTGAACTGATTAATTTTATTATTCGGAAATATTGTGTCGTCACGTTTATCATTTTATATAATGTAGTCATTATTATATATGTACTATATAATATTACATGTATATAACATGTATATATATAATGTTAATGTCATATGAAATTTTGTTGAAGGCAAAAGTCTGTCTAGACTTCTAGACCGAAATATTTTTAAAAATATTTGAAACGTCAACAAAAAATAATTACGTACTCCTCGTCTCATGCGATCTTCCTCGGTTATCATTACAGTCGCCGTTTATTGCCGCTAATTAGTAGTTGCCCTTTGACTCGATTAATAACAATGATTGCGCCCAGCGATAGCCAGCCACGTGCTGCGCCGCGTTTCCAAATTTGTTCTATGGGGAGCTTACGCGGTTGTCAATGGCCAACCGGTCTCTGGCACGGAGGGCAAAAAAAAAGGAGAAGACCCGGGAGAAAGGGCAGGGAGGGAGGATCCGTGAGGGAGACAGAAGAGGAGAGATTCGTACCATTTGGCTCGGCTTCGTCGGTTAACGCAGCGGGGTTACCGCGGACGCCTCGACGGACACATTGAGGGCGCCCGCTCGACTTGATAATCGCTTGCCATTCATACACTTTTCATTGGATTGCGATTGAGCATTAAGAAACTGGGAGAGAGAGACCCGGGGGCTACGACGCGCTCTCCGCGTCGCGCCCAGGCGACGTATTAGCATTAGGAGGCATCATCTCGAGTGTAAACACTGCATGGGCACCGCGGATTTAGTCACAGTCGAGAGCCGCGGGACGTCCCCGATATTATCGTCCCTTTTTTACGTTTCTCTACCTTTGGCGTCTTTCTGCCCTAATAATAATCGTCGGTACCCGTTCCGTCAACGTGTGTCGGAGATCTATTCACCTCTTCAGGAATTGCTTTCTTTTTTTAACTGGGAACGATTTCGATGTAATCTGCTTTTAGTAAGATTTAAATTGTAACGTAAAAACGTAGATTCTTTTTTCTTTATTAGATTAGACAAATATTAAACACGCTGGGAGAGATGTAAAGTGTTATAAAAAATAAAAATGTGCATATTTTTTAAAATAGAGGCTCTACATATGTGTACTCTATTTAAATAAATTTAAGATGAGAATAATATTTTAATTTAAGCATATAATATTTTAAAAAATATTGCATTCAATCACGTATATTTTAAATTTAATATAAGTAATCGTGCTCCCGATAAATCCTATTTTATACACATCCCTACGACGAGATCGATGTGAAGACATCAACAAAAAGAAGTATTCGGGAGAGGATTCGTCGGAACGCTGCTGACACAAAAAGTTTTGTCTCATACAGAGGCAAAGAAAAAAAAAGCGGTTTGTCGTTGGCCTTAACCGCGAGATTCACGGTTAAAGCCCACGAACGACGGACGTCGCCCATGATCCCCTTTATCCAATCCGTGAGGATCCGCGGGGCGTTAAATCCCTCGGGGAAAAGCTCGGCGTAACTGAACTCGCGTTCGGGCGCGCTCTAAGTCGGTCAGCTCGGTCCAGCCGAGCGAGAGGATCACAATACTCGGCTACGTCCATCTCCCCGCTCTCGTTCCCCCGCACGCTTCGCCCGTGAAAATTAGTTGCGCGAGAAATCCATGCTAATGTCGGCTAATCGGCCGTAATCAATCGTGAGAAACGCCGACTGTCACGGAGTCGACGTTCCCGCAAGCGACGAAAGGGAGAGCTCCTCTTTCTCTTTTCTTGGGTTACCTCGCAATTCGATCGCAACGATTGACGCGCAATCAAGCGAAGTCGTGTTGAAAGCGAGCGTATATCTGCGAAAGCAGTTATTTTCAACATTTTCGTACAGGTTGACAAATAGAGATGTAAGTAAAAGTGTACATTGATTTGTAGAATCAATAAGTCGAAGAAAATTTTTGAAAGATTCATTGTAGTTGTTTAATTATTATTGATTCAAATTATATTTGAAGAATTTATAACCATTTTATATTTGAATCTTTATTATATTAGTAAGGTTAGGAAATTAAATTTAAAGAGAATTATTTTAATTTAAGGGAATAAAAAATATTAGGTCTGATATATGCAAGTAAATGCAAGGTATAAAATGTGATAAAAATTGAATTTATTTATTACGATGAAAAACCATCAGAAATTCATTCAATTATACATATGAGTAAAAAGTTAAAAAAATTAATTGAAAATTATTATTAAGATTAATTGTAATTATATTACAAATATTTGAATTGATTTTATCACGAGTCTTGTCTTTAACTTAGGAATAAACAAGAGGCTGAAGAACAACCCAGTGAATCCGCTAATAATGAAGTCTATGATCCTCACTCGCATCGTGTCACTTATAAACCAGTGTCGTATGTCTCTTCTCGTCGAGTTATTTATCTAATTTTAATTGTTAATAATATTACTTTTGAGGAAAATCTCGCATAATATAATTTGCTGATGGGACAATTATTTTTCTTAATTCTTCGTTTTATTTACTGATTATTTTGATATCAGTTGTATGGAATTATAAGAATATTACGTATTTATTTGTTTTCTCTCTTTACTCTTCAGAGACTTTAATTCTTTGGCAAATCTAGTCAAAAGCGCAGCCGGAACGGGTCTATTCGCAATGCCAAACGCCTTTGCTTGCGTCGGGCTGTTTATCGGGATTGTTGGCACGGCGTCTATGGGACTGTTGATAGCCGGGTCCCTTCAGTTGCTCGTTAGAATCCACCATCTGATGTGCATCCGTCTGAAAAAACCCGTCTTGATATATGAAGAGGTGGTAGTCGCCACTTTAACTACGGGTGCGCGAGAACCGTGGCTCTCCGCGCGCGCTGCAACGTTCGTATAATCGTATTATTTCACTTCGGATATCCTTGCGGTATAACAAAATGCATGTTGCACGATGTTAACTTGAATATCTTATTTAATGAATTAAAATATCGAAACGTGATCACGAATGCAATTATTAAAAATATTTAACGTAATATGTAATATGTAACATATATATATGATTGTTAGTATATTGAATAGAAGGGAATAATTATATAACATTCTAGATACACATATATGTATTAAAACTTTTTAAGACAAAGGCTTTTTAAAGAGAGAAAGGCCTTTTTTGAATTTTCATTCACTTACAGGCTCATCGTCGATGCGACGATGTTAATGTGCTACATCGGGATTGGTTCGGTTTACGTCGTGTTCATTTCCGGTATAATTCAAGAATGTATAGATACAGAAAAAATCATTGGACAGGGTTACTACGCACTTATGCTATTTCCTCTTTTTTTTGTAATGAATATGGCGAAGAATCTGGCGGACATTGCGCCGATTTCTATTGTCGGAAACATTTTGCTTCTCGCAGCTGGAGGTATTGGAATCGTTTACGCGTTAAAGGACGGGATTGGCGATGCATGGACTATGATCGGACCGAATATAAACTTATATCCGAAATTTATTGGTGTAGTTTTTTTTAGTATGTGTTCACCCGGCGTGGTAAGTCTTTAATTTTTTTGAAATTAAAATTAAATTTACTTTTATCAGGATCCTTCGTATAGTTTTGTCCTTAATGATTGCATCTATATGTATCGACATAATAAATATAATCTTTTAGATATTGGCGATAGAGCATAGCATGAAAAAGCCTTGGAATTACGTTAAATTTTGTGGAATATTAAATTGGGGTATGGGATTTTTGGTTTTAATACATATTTTTGTTGGATCTATTGGTTATTTAAAATGGGGACCAGATGCGCTCGGCAATTTTATCCGTAATCACGAGGAACATGATGGGTAATATAATCTCATTAATTACACACAAATTATTTTGTGAACGAATACGAAAGAAATTTATATCATTCTTTACATCGCACATGATTGATAATTATATTATATTATATTATAAGTCATTTGTACAAAATATCATTTAATTTGATTTGCTCTATTCCTTCCTTTTTCTATTTTTTAATTTTCTGAATTGCTATGATTTTTATAGTATTTTATTTTATTCATTTATATTGTTTATTTTTAGTAATTTCTATTCTTGTAAATTCTTCTTATTTAAATTAGGTTAGAAACAGCATTTGCCATTATCTCACTTTTTGATGCAAAAAAATTATACTTCTATTATTTTTTATTTATATTTATTCTAATTTTATATATACATTTTATTAGTTAAAATAAAGTATTATTATTATTATTATTAATTTATACTTTATGTTTCATTGATTTTTTTTAGACCGACGATCGTGGCATTGATAATGCAAGCATTGGCAATATACTTTACGTATGGACTGCAGTGTTATATGCCCATCACAATTTTGAAGTACGGCTATGCCATACCAGCCATCGAGGATGGTACCTGCAAAGGAACACCATTTCTTTGGGATCTGATTATTCGTTTTGGCATCACACTCGTTACGTGTAAACGACAGTTTCTCTTTATATTTCCTTCCGTTCTCTCATATCTTTAAGGTAAACTCTCGATCAAATTCGATGGACCGCGACGGATTGCATCTCCCTTTGTGTTGGAGCGACCAACTTGGTAAAATCGATCAATCCGTCCACGATTACGGTCCGCTTCTCGGGACTCAGATATTACTAAAGTTCGGAAATCCACTTTCGCAGAATTTGATACTCAGTTTTGTCTAAGTCTTATTCGACCAGGTCATATTTCTGGATGCTATGATCGTGTACTATCGACGTTCGATATTTGTTATGTTATTTCGTCAATTTTTTCTCTAATCAGTACAATTCTATTGTTAATATCCTGTGAATAGAAATTCTTTGAAATACAGGAAAAAATGATATTTTATAGGCATTCTGGCAGCGGCGATTCCGAAGCTTGATCTGTTCACCGCCTTAGTCGGCGCGATATGCATATCCACTTTGGCCACATTAATCCCGGTCACTTTATACATTCTCGTACATTACGAGGATTTCGGAAAGTTCAAATGGAGATTGATCTTGGGTGTCTTTATGTTTTCTGTCGCTTTTATCGCGGCGATTTGTGCCGTCACGACCAATCTCACCTTAATCGTGGAGTTTCTTATATATGGGTATACACATGAAGAGAATCATTATAATTTATAATATTAAAAATTTATAATCGTAATTTTATAATGAATTAGGATGATGCATTCATAAATGAAAATTTAAGAAGAATTTAAATTTTAAAAACAAGTTATATATTATTATATATAATATATATTTATATAATATTATATTTATACACATGTATTTAATACATGTGTAATTTATATACATGTTATTTATTTGAACACGGAAGAAATAATGAAATAATCTTTTTATTTTTTCCAGAGACTAAAGTTACAACGACGATGAGGTTATCTTAATCTAGTCTCTGTTCGTAATCTGCAGCCTGATGAAAATACCGTCGGTGCGCGCTTCGTAATATTTTTCTCTTTTTTTTTATTTTTGTCTTCGGGCGCGGTTGTAAAGCCGCTACCGTTTACGCGCGATTCAGCCTAATCACGGCAGCTGTGGCGGCGGCGACGGTGAGGCGGCTGGAAAAACCGCGAAAAAGGCGTGAAGCTCGTGAAGGACAAAAAGCGAGGAAAGCGGGAAAAAAGGAGAGAGAAAAGAGGGAGTATACGGCAAAAGAGGAGAGAAGCGCGCCACGTATAATCGCGTCAGATCACCGAGGCGTCAATGGCTGCTACTGGGCTTATCACACATACACATACATGAGGGACGCAATGATAAAGAGGGAGACACACGTGGAAACTGGCAGACACGTATCGACACGGCGAATGCACGATTGTGTGAGTATATACGAAGGCCAGGGGGACGACGTTGCGCAAATGGCGAGAGAAAGAGAGAAAGAGAGGAAGAGGGAGAGAGAGAGAGAAGTGGGTACCCTCTCTCTTTCTCTCTCTATCCACGGGAGAAGGAACCAAAGCAGAGGCGGCGGCGTCGGCGCGAAGAGAGAGCCTCTATATAGCGGGACACGGAAGGGTGCTTTCATCACATAGAGAGGACACAACCCCTTTTAGTGGCTACCGCCGCGTCCCCGTTGCCCCCCTTCCTCCTCCTCACATCTTAACCTACCATATCCCCCGTCGCACTTCGGGGACCGTCCTCTCTTTCTCTCTCAGATTCGCCCTTACAGACTGCCTTCGCCTGGTCGCTCATCCGTTTGCCAGTTCAAGGTGGCTGCGTTCATTACCGGAGGATACACCGGGTGGTGTGGGTCTCTACCGAACCCGTCGTCGGCTTCCCTCGTGCTCGACGGCCAGCCCCCGAGAAAACGTCTCGTTTAATAATTATATCGATGAGTCGCCAAGGACGTCACAACGCTCGCAATGTTGTGTGAATCGCGAAATTTGTCGAAAAAATTACTAAATTTATCGAGAAAAATTTAAAATTATCGACAAAAAAATTATACTGAGATTTGTAATTTCACGATAAAAATTACAGGCGAATATATCGATTAATCTTACATTATAAATATACATATACATTATTAATACACACATATATTACACATATTATTTAATATTATCAAGATATATATATGTATACATATATATATATATATTTTTTTTTAATTATATAGCATGCAAGATAAAAATATATAAAACTATGAAATTTTTGTTACGAATTCAGTTTCGCGAGAATGTAAATAGAGATTAAGACTATCTGATGATATTTTTGCATATATATTTGCATAAACCGTTACACCTGTTGGAAACACATGTGTGAAAGCAATTGCGAGAGCAACATGAAAGCTCGTGGAAATATCGAAGTAAAATTGGACGAACACGTGTCCTTTTATAAGTAAGTAATGACCGACCAATCGAGAGACACCCTATCATCGAGATTTTTTCTTTCTAATTGGAGAACGAAAGAAAGCTATCCCCGTGCATACGGAGATTAACCGACCGCATGAGTGCACGTGCATTTAAACAGCCGCTAATTGCTAAACCGAGAGGGAGAGCCGCTATTGAGCGTCTCATTCCAAGTTCCGTTTTGTTAGAGGGGAAAGTATATTTTCTGCAAAAGTAAATAATTATTCTCTAAATTCTATAGTTCAGAAGTGAGGACGCCGACATTTTTATATGGGAAAATATTTAAAATTTTATTATTTTACTATAAAAATAAAAATAAAGTAATTTTGGTCTAAATAGAGTATTCATAAAAATTCGTACGCTGTTTTATATCTCAATCAGTGGTCCATCTATTTTGGAATTAAAGAAAAAAAATAATAATTAATGTAATAGACTTTCTTTCATCATGTAATAAGATTGAGGACAAAAAGAAAAAAAATTAATATAGTCACTAAGAAATGCGATTTTTTATAGTAGAAAAAGAACAAAGTGACTTGCGCAACTTTAACTGGGATAATGTAATTTAGCTATTTTATTTATCTTTGACTTTTTAAATACTTATAAACGGAAAACCAAACGATATCTTTACATTTATTTTATTTACACGAATATGTGTAAATAGAGTCAACTATTTGCACATGTATCTTCGAAGACGCGCGTATTCATGTTCATAGATTATTCCGTGACGACGTCGACGTCGGCAAGTTTGTGAGACTTCGCAGGAACTAACATGACGAGTAGAAGGAAGCCGCGTAGGAAGCGAAACGGTCGAAGGAGACGGATGGTAAGACAGGATAAGCAGATATTAACCGAGTTCATGGCGGCCAAAAGGGGGAAGAGGAGATGAGAGAGAGAGAGAGAGAGAGAGAGAGAGAGAGAGAGAGAGAGAGGCGAGAGAGGGAAGAAGGGATACTCTGCGTAGCAACCAGAAGGGGTTTGCTCGCGGCTTTCCTTCCGCCGAGGATCTACCATCCTCTCGTATGCGAGGCTAAGGTGGAGGTGCGAGCTCCTTAGCTGCCGTTTCTCGCTATCGGAAACGGGGAACCGGGGGCTTCCCTTATCTCGAGTCTGCAAGACTGCCTCCGGTAATACCGTGCGCCGTAGGAAACCCTTACGAGCGACGAGAACCCCGTGAAATATCGTTAAACGGCTTGGTACCCCTTTCCTATCCTACCTACCTCTTCCACTTCGATCTTCCACGATCATCCACTCCGAGCCTCTTCGAACACTTTGCACCGACGATCATCTTTCTGCTGTGTAACTCCCTCTCCCTCGCCCACTTTTCGACTTTCATCGCGAAACGATATCCACTCTCACCAGCGAGATAACGCATATTGCGCCGATGACAATGGACGTCACGTGCCTGTCAAATACCAGTATCACACCAGTCACCGTAGTACCAGTGCTTTTGTATTAAATGATAAATGAACCTCGTGTATCTTTGCATGCAAGTATCGGTGCATGTAGCATAAAAAAAATTCTATTTTTTAATAAAAAAATTGCTTTTTATAGTCTTTTCCTCTCTCTCTTTCCGTCTTATTATATTGTCTTGTAAAAACAGACTAGTCCTTGATGAGATATATAATAATAAATTTTTATGTAACATGCATAACTAATTTGATGTTTTACTACGACAAAATTAGTGTGTTTTGTCTCCACATTTCGATAATAATATGGACTGACAATAACTTTTCTAATTTTCTGAACTTAACTTTTAGCGCTATTATTATCGATTATCTGATTCATGGATTTTAGGATCGTCAACTGCAAATTTAGATTTAGGCACCGACTGGCATCTCTTTGCGCGAAGTTGAACGGCAAGAAAACGGCGCTGCCGAGGAAACGAACGGGCGCGCTTCATTATACGCGACGCCGATACGCTTCGTTTGTCTCCGGAAGTTGTGCTTCAGGAGGGACGACAACGACAGCGAAAAGGGGGGGCGAGGAAAGAGGACGAGATGCAAGGAAGAGGCAGAATAGAAGGGAAAGCGAGGTGTAAATGGGAAGTCGGGGCGGAAGGGGACGGCTTGAATTAATACAATCACGCGGGGGTGGCTCACCACTCGCAGTCCGTGGCAAGAGGGTGAGAGGCAACGAGAGATAACCACCCCTTTGCTTGTCATCGAAATTATACGCTGCCAACACTCGACCTCGTTTACTATGCTGACTTTCTCCCTTCCTCTTTCGTTGCGCGACCGTCTTGTTCGTCTCTTGTCTTTTTCCTTTCTTTTTTCTTCTCACTGTATATATTCCAGATTTTCGGTATCCAAGAATACTCGTATATCAAGACAACTAATTGAGTTAGAAAACGAAGGGTCAAATGTATCAGTAACGAACTGTACGCCAACCAATATGATTAGCAAAGTTCTTATTGTTTTAGTAAAGTTTTGTTTTTCCTTTAAGTTCCTGATCTTATTAATTTTGAGGGACAAATCTTCTAAATCGTAAGAAATATATATTATTCTTATTTAATTAATTTATAAATAATTAATTTATAAATTAATTTATAAAAATTTGTATATAAATCCGATGTTTTATAACGCATATTTGCAAAAAGTTTGAAACAATTAATGCCAATTTGAAAATTACAAATATTATCTTAAATAAGAATTTCTGATATTCTTTTCAAAATTTTTATAAACATTATCACAATTGAAGACGTTATTTATTTCGCAATAAATATTCCTATATACTTGTATATATTATTTTCATGCGGAAAAATATGTCTATAATGTCAAATATTATTTTATTTAAAAATCATCTGAATAAGTATTTTTAATAATCTATGCATTACAGATATATTCATTATTCAAAATTGTAAGATCAGACAGAATAATTTATCCGAAAATATTTGTAAATTTTTTAAAATTAAAATACTAATTTTTTTTAAATTAGTATTTTATTCACAATTATATATATTTTTTATTTTATACATATTCTTCTTTTACATACATATATAGCCAAAAATCTTTTAAAACAATTATGAATTTCAGATGCCACAAATGGGATAAATCGTGTGACCCAGTCTATATCTCTGGAGCATCAAAACTGATCGCGCTCATCTTGTGGAAATCGAAAGAAAGTTGTGAGTATGGAAGAAACATTTTATTCCCTGTGGGAGAGCGCGGAATCGGGTTACGGAGGTTTTTAATAAAATCAGGCGCCCGGCGAGGCGTGTCAAATGGAAATATGCACGTTCGGCCGAGAGATTTTGCGGGCGGGGTGAGGTCTGCCTCGTTTCACAAACGGGGGTGCGACTCGATAACGATGGAATTCATCCATCCATCTTTCACCACGCGGAGGTAGGCACGCTACGTGAGTGCGAAGGGAGAGAGGGAGAGAGAAAGAGAGTTGATGAGAAAAAATTTTTTTCTTCCTTTATTTCCTTCCGCTTCCCTGAGCTTGTATCGTAATCAAAAAGACGCGAAGCGAATTAGCAATTCGCGCGAGATTTGCCAGCAAGAGCTGTTTGAAGAGAATTTTC